AAAATAATTTTCTCATGCTTCCTTTTGCCATCACCGATTTTTCATCCAAGTTATTTGGAATACTCGTTAAAACAGAAAACGGTATTCATTTGTACAGCTGGCAACTTCTCCAGCTACCTTTATCAGTGTACCGTCGCCTGATGGTCAGCTTGTTGGTAGTCCCAGCTTTTGTCCCCTCTCCTAGCAAACAGTTCGGTGCTCCTATCTAATTTTTTCCGGATTCAAACCATACTTTTTCTGAAATAAATTTGCAACTTTTAGAGAGGTTGACTCTTCCCTGACTGACTTTTTCGTTAATTAGTTAATTTCACTTTATCTCATTTTTTCACTTTTTGAGAACTTTGATGTTTAATTAAAATAAAAGGAAATGTACTAAGTAATGTTGACGCAAGCGCATGTTTACATACGTTCATGTCTGAGATTTTCTGTACATTCAGGAAGCTAATTGCTAACAGGTATTCGACATAAATGTTCATTAAGTCCAGGAAAAATTTCTACCTGCAAAAGATAATGCGCAAAAAAGAAACGGCTAATGGAAATCCAGGAAGAATTTTCTATGCACTGACAATTTAAGCAATAGTATTTGCGGAATTCTACAAACAGCTTTGAATTTTCTCAAAAAAATTATGATGGCTTTAGAACAGTTTTTGATTTTTTCCAGAAATTTCTGGATTTTGCATCTCAGTAAATTTTTGTCCTAATTAGCTGAAACTAAAAAATTTCTCGGAAAAACTGATTAAATTGCCCAAATTTGAGTGCAGCACATAGACGAAACGGATGCCAGGATATCCAGTAGGCTCATCACTAGGTGATAGTCAGGACAAATGAAAGAGCTGTGAACCACACAGCTGGAAATCCAAACTGTACAAATTACAACTGGTCAAAGTGTTAAAATAATGACAAAAAATAATCATTTTAGAAGAAACACGAGAATGAGCAGTGCATTGCAAATGTTCATGATTTACGGACAGCGTTTTTATTCAGGTTCTTTGTTTTACTTATAGTTATTTTTAATAATCATTTTTATTGTTTTTGCTGAAAATATTATTTTTTTCTCACTGAAAAACGAAATTTTTAAAACATCAGCCTAGAAGAATCGTGTTTCACTATTACAAAATACATTAGGTGCAAGCACGACTTTTTTGTAGTTCTTTGCATGATCGGAGATCATGTTCCCGAAATTCCAGCTTCTTAGCTTTTTTAGCTCGGTATTTGGGTTATCCGGACAGACAGTGCACATGCAAACTCCACCGTGCCATAATGCTTTAATCTAAACAATTGTAAATCGACGATAGGGTTGTTATAAGCTGCTAGGGTTGTTATAAACTTTCTTGTGATTTAAAACGGACTTAGTTGAATAGACAGTAAACTAAGTCAAATAGACTACTTCATTTTTGCAAGAAAATGAACAAAATTATTTCAGTTTGGAAACTCAACATACCATTGGCTACGGGTTCAGGTAAGTTTATCACTCATCGCTGATTCTTGATAACTCTGTTCAACAGTCCATGGATGAGGAGATAAAACGAACGTGAGAACAGCAAAACTCTTCGGCTGTACATAATATTAGGCGACATTTTTTGAAAAGCAGAACAACGCCGCGATGAGTGTCTCCCTTAAATTCTTCTACGTTTTCAGGTTAGCTGCCTGAGAATGTTAACACCTCAGGAAGTGAATATTAGGGTACTTGCTAAATCTTGGAAACAATTACTTTAGGCTTCTCCATAGTACTAGCAAGAACGGTGGTTGCGAAATCAAGAATTGTGAGGACATCGCGGAGCAAAACCTCAGAACCTTCGTGGATAAGCATTTCTTTGCACTAATTTACGAATTCGTATCGTGCCTTCAAGTTTTAAGTAACATTAAATTCCAGGTATACGACCGACGCCTGTCTCCCGGTATTTTTTGTCCTGTCGCTGCAGTGCGTTGTTGGTGTTTTTCTTCAAACGATGTTAGCGGGTATTGTTGTTGCTAAAGTACTGCGGCCGAAGAAACGGAAGCAGGTGAAATTTTATTCACTTCTTTCGGTTGGGTAAAAGTTGATCTCAATTCCACCTCTTTTACACCCTTTGTTTCAGTCTCGATAAAGCAGGAAGCACCAGAAAGCAATCGTGATTGTTTTTTTCCAGGAGATGAGGTTTTCTCAAGTGGCAGTGGTAGGTCCGCTTGACGACCACGATAGGAGGCCAGCATTAATGATTCGAATTGCCGACATACAGAACAATCTGTATATTGCCGAGCCTCATGTTCGACTGTACATGGCAACCTCCAAAATTAATCGGGTATTTTATGAAATCTGCACTTTCTTCGTAACTAATTACAAATCCATTGTTGTCCAGGGTTCGAATTTATATCTTCGAAGTGCCGCGATTCGCGGCATAACTTAAGGCTGAAACTCGAATCTCCACCAAAAGCCGTTGATGTGCGACGTCCGCGCGATACCCCTACTTCCATTCCTGGCAGGCGATTT